CACTGTCAAACATAAACCACCTACTTCAGGGCTTTGCTCACACTGAGATTTTGCCAAAAATAATTTCTTTTTATACTATCTTTTGGGAACTCAAAACTCAAGATTTTCCTTTCAGTATGTACATCTACACGATAGGTTAAAGAAGTTTTTTTGTGTTACATTGGGAAAATACTACTTAAAGTAGTTTCTACATGGAAAAATGGATTTCAATATCTATTGACTAACCTACTATTGAACCAGAGGCTGAAAGTACATTTCTATGTTACAGACATCCTTTTCAAAAGACAAAATCTGAATGAAGCAAAAGTATTACTCCTTCCTCCCTTACTTGCCCCTTCACTTTGCATTACACTTTTCAACCCTGACAACTGCAGGGTGACATTTTCCCAACTAACTTCAATGTCAGTACATGCTGGAAATTATCATCCATAGCTTTCAATTAACTATGTCAAAGTGAAGTTTTTAAGGATGAAGATATCAAGTAGCTAGGTATAAAATGCTTTCTTCCAACTGGTAAATACAAATAGAATGAAATACCTATATACAAAGTGCAATTTGACTTTTTATTAATATGTAATAGGTACAAACTTTTACACAGCTGTTACTTTCAATTAGTTGAAATAAAAGTGTTACCTTCAGGCAGTTGCTCAAGTTTAAATTCAGGCCTCAAGCATTCTACTATTGCCAGAAATGCCCTCTCTTGTCCACTGAAGTTCTTCCTTTCGGGGCCACTAAATCATGATAGGCTTCATTTGTGTGAGAGCTATAATTATGTCTTCACAGCAGCATTTTTTCTGTAATGAGAAGGTATTCAATGTATATTTTCTTTTTCTACACATAAAGAAAACTACTAGATTTTGTTATGCAGGTTTTATTATAAAACAACTGTAAGCAGCCCAGTACAGTAGAACCATCAATTGACTCAGTTGAAGAAAACTAAAGATCAGGAGTGACTTTACAGATAACTGCATGTGTCCAGGGGTAGATGACTTAACGTGTGATTCAGTTTCCTCAGTCCAAATCAAGGATTTGGACTAAGGTTTTGTTTCAACTCACATTCTACACCTACTACTAAAACAAAGACCTCCAGTAAAGTACATTTCTCCCATGAAATATTTACTAACAGCGCACTTTTTGTAACCATAAAAGCTTGATAATAAAGGTTCCCCTCCCCAAACTACACCCTCTATAAAATCATGGAATTGATTTGACAAAGTTAGTTCTTAAGCAAATAGTATTGGGATTATGTAAAGAGAACAAAGAAGAAAGTATTACATGTGTACACAGTTTATGATTGGAGTTCAGAGCACACACATTTTGCTGGCAAATTGCTTTCTAGAATGTTTCACATCACGTTAGAAAAGTGGATTTTACCTTATATCAAAAGCAAAGATTAGGAAGAAAACTGTTAAATTAGAAGTTTGATGTTTTATAGGGAAAGGGGGAATTTTATTGTTTATAAATATTGAATGCATGGCAGAGAGGAAAAGACTATTCAGACTGCAGTCACTCATATCTCTGTGGACCTTATTTGGGATACCGTTTTGATTTTGTTCAACAGGAATTTTATTCAAAACTTTAGAGGTAATTCTGTCTATTACCTCTGATTAACAACTGATTATTTTGTTGAGTTTCCTCTAAAGACTTTTGCATACTAACATGTATCTGTTAAAACCAATTACCTGAGAATAAATCCCCAAACAGGGTAACTGAAGGATGAAACCACTTTTAGTTTAGTCTTAAAAGATTTTCCTAATTCTAGGTACCTTGTTAGCATCCTAAGACTTAAAGGATCTTGAAATATATTCAATATCAGTGCCAGATCTTGTAACTTATTAACATTAAAAAATGTTGCTCAAAAGTACTTTAGAAAATAAAATTATTCTTGTCTTTTAAAGTAAATGAATGCTCTTTTTATGCTCCTTTTATGATGTATATAAAATTACTATGAATCAGTGGTGTCAAAAATTAAATCAAGACTCCTAGTTCACAAATATTTGATAGAACAATTTATTTTTTTAAAGGTGGATTTGGAAAGTTATAATGTGTTAAGTCAAAAATTTAAATGTATGCAAATATGTATAAACAATAACCTATTTTTAACTTTTCACTTAAATTTAAAGCTAGTGTTCACAATGTCTCTTTTACCTAAGGTTTGCCCTCTTCTATAAATTTGCCTATAATCTTGGTATCTACCCATTTCTTACCCTGTAAATAATACCTCTTTTTACCTCTATGCTTTTTGAGAGCTATACAGATTATTTCATTTAATCCTCACAGTAACAGTTGGATCTTTATCTCTAGAGAAGAAAGCCAAAGCTGTCAAGTAACTTGCCTAAAATCACAGAAAGCATTAGAGCTCAGATTCAAAACTAAGCTGGAAAAAGCCAAAAAACAAACTGCACTGCAAAGCCCATACACAGTCTTCAGATCATACCATACCATGCCATTATATGTTGAAAAAAGAAACCTATAATAAAGAGACACAAATCTTCTAAGCTGTGATTTTCTAGATAACAATATGTCTTCACAAGGACCACAGTAAATGAATCATGTAGGAAATCATCAAGAACAAAAAGCTTGAAGTTAACGTTCTAAGAAAAACACTCAGGGGCACCTGGGTGGCTCAGACGGTTAAGCATCAGACTTCGGCTCAGGTCATGATCTCCAGCTCTTGAGTTCGAGCCCTGCATCAGGCTCTGTGCTGACAGCTCGGAGCCTGGAGCCTGCTTCAGGTTCTGTGTCTCCCTCTCTCTCTGGCCCTTCCCCTCTCGAGCTCTGTCCCTCTCTCCCACCAGAATAAACAAACATTAAAAAAAATGTAAAAAGACCACTCAAAGTAAAAGCATTAACTACCCTAAGTACTGCATGGAGGGAACACCAAGTATGATACAAGTCACTACTGAAAAAACACCAAAGCCATCACAGTGGATGTTGAGTTGCTTTGAAACACTTATAATTTTCCTTAACCAAAGGAAGGTCTCAAATGAAGACAGGTATTTTAGTGAATTCAACATTTCTGCTTGGCAAATTGAAGTTTTATCTTATTAAGCATACTTAGGTTCTGTATCTTACTGGTCATATTTTTCAATTAAAATTAAGATCAATCTGTACCCTCAGGTATTGTACTTTCTTATTATGGTAAATTTCAAAATAACAATCACTAAAATTTATTAATCTTACTATATGTTTTTTGCTGTTGTTTTTCTTAAGATTTTATTTTTAGCTAATCTCTACACCCAGCCTGAGGTTCTAACTTACAACCTATAACCCGGAGATCAAGACCTGCATGCTGCATCGACGGAGCTAGCCAGGCTCCCCTGTATGTTTTTAAAAGACATTTTAATCAATACTTTATCAATAGTAAAAAAATTATCTGAAAAAGAACCTAATTATTTGAAGATTATTTCAGGCCCTATGAATTTTAATTCCGGCAATTTTACTGCTGTAACTCAAAAATCACTTATAACTAAAGGAGAATGTTTAAAACTGTCAAATTTCTTTCCACGACTACCAGATTCAGAAAATACGAAGAGCAACACTTAAGAAAGTGTTCAAGCTTCACGTGATCTAACTTATTTAAGGCATATCATTCTCACCATTACAATGAATCACATGGTTAAATGACCACAGTTTCTATTTGCAAGCTAGGATTTCAGCATAGAGGTTTTTTGTTTTTTTTTTTATTCCTCTAACCACGAAACGATTCTCTCTTATTCACGTTGGCAGAACTTCTAGTCAAACTGGACATCTAAATGATCGTGATGGTAACAATAGCTAACATTTACTATGTGGCATTTAATTCTCACAGTGACCCAAGTGTGGCAGAGATTTAATATGTACTTGAAACATTCAGGTTCGAGAGGCCGCATTCTAAAAAGGTGAGTGAATTGAAAATAGTCCTACTTTCATTATCATTACTTTCCAATAAAAGATTGTTCTTCGCTTACAATTGTGTAAATACTTTCTCATAGTCTATGGTTGATTTAAATACCAGGTGTCTACTTAATTGTAGCACATATTTAAGCAACGTAAAGGAAAGCTTTAGTTGTCTTCACCTGCACATACTGCTCTGCCCACAAATTCTGCAATCCAGTTTTGCCTGATTCTAAACTGCTCTCTCTTGGAGTCCCCCTCTTGGAGCTTTTCTGGCGAACGACTTAATAAGTGACTTTGAACTCTGGAAAGTATCTCTCCATCCATCCTCCCACAGCGAAACAACTAAATTTAATTAGAGTAATTCTCCCGACCATTGAGAGTTAAGACATAGGCCTTTGGGTAACTTTAACACCAAAAGTCAAAAAGCGTAGTCTGAGAATGTACGGGAGGACGCCTTTCCCTTTCTAAACAGAAGATAAAATGGGGCTCATAAAGGGAAAACAAAAAGAACCAAAAAACCAAAAACAAAAAACCTAAAAATTGGAGCTCGTGGCTGCTAAAAGGACCACACACCGGGCGCTCCCGCCCAGGCGTTTGGATACTTCTCCGCGACGGTGGCGCGTCCTGAAGCTCAGCAACCCTCCTCCAGACACCTAACCTCCACCTTCTCCAGCCTGCTTTCCCGAGGCCCGCGAGAGCAGTCCTGGGAGAGGGGTAGTAGGCCTCATGGTGTGGGACCCCGAAAAGGCCCCGAGGCGGGGCGCGGAAGGCACCACCCGGGCCCGGTTGGGGGCGGGGACCGGCGGTTGCTCAGAGAGCAGGAGGGTCAGGAGGTGACGGGAGGAAGAGGCAGGAGGAAAGAAATGGGGGTTGGGAGGCAGCGTCCGGACGGTGGGCGCAGACAGCTCGGCCAAACCTCCGACTCCCTTAGTCCCGCCGCCTCCGAGAGCCCTACAGGGCGAGGAGGGAAGTCCACAAAGTGCAGGAGCAGAGGGGAGAAAATTCAAAACGAGTCTACTCAACCTCGTCTTGGCTCCGAGGCCCTGCCATGGAGACCAGCACAATGCGCAGGCGCATCCTTCTGAGAACGCGCAGCGTAGTAGTATGAGACAAGAGCACAGTCGGCCACCGTCGGCCGTTTGTCTTCTGATTTGCTTTCCGCACGCGTATTCCTTCTCTCACTGGATCTAAAGCCTGAAGCCGGAGGCCGGAGTACTCCGAAAGACTCGGTCTGCGTAAGAAAATAAAGCCAAAAAGTCTTTAGCAAATTAAAGCTTAAGGTAGAGGAAATACAATAGATATCTGGCTGCGGTTGGGAAGGTTTAATACGGATAAAATTTATCTTGAGGACAGCATGGCAAAAAAAGACTACCATTCCCAGTGGTTACTGCGTCTGAGAAGCGCTGCTTTCTGGGAATGGTAGTGTCTAGGAGTTGTGTTTGAAGTATCAGGTCTGAAGACAGCGTCTTACAATTAAAAAGATAGAGCAGCAGTTTAAATTGGGACTTTTCTGTATCTTCTTAATCGATAACAGTTCTAAATATTTTTTAAAAAATTTAAAAACATTAGGGACACCCCGTCTTTAAGACATGCTTTACTATCGATGATTCCTGTATCTAGGAATAGGTAGTTGATGTTTGTGGGCTGGGTCTCGGTGTGTGAGCAACCTCGTGGTTGCTGAGAAGGCCGGAGGAAAGAAAACCGAAGCCCGGAACACGGCAGCTTCTTGCGTACCTGTGCAAGCTAATTTTGAGTTACCTCTTTTTGTAGTCTTAAAAGACCAGAGCGCCTGTTGTCTATTACCCACTTTCGTTTCGGTAGACAAGTCTTGTGTATACTCCTCGCCATGGCTCAGCTCCAGGCACGCTTCTTCACTGACAATAAGAAGTAAGTAAGCGTCCTTTTCTTTCCTCTCTTCCTCTCGCCTCCCTGGGATCTTTTCCAAGAACTTCTTCTGTATGACTTTGTGGAGCCTCGGTTGTCTTTGCCCACAATTCCTCCCCCAACTCCTATTTTGTTTGTTTGTTTGGCTTTACTCTTGGCTTCAGCGCGTTTTCCGGTTAAGCGGAAGCGATACCTTGCCGGGATTTCTCAGGGATCTACATCTGATATCACCGATCCTTTTTGCCTGGCTTCTAAGGCTGTATATAATTTGAATTGTGACTGTAGAGGGCTTTGAGGGGCTTCACCTTTGATTCCTGAATGAAGCACATGTGATTTTAAGAATGAAAAATGGACCGAGTCCTTACAGGCTGCCTGCTAGGGATGTTTCACCATTTCTCAAAACACAAGTTTATTACTATTATTTTTTTAGGTAGATAATAGACATTGCTTTTCTAAACCAGGCTAGAAAGTGGAGCTCTGAATGGGGGTTGGTAGAACTTTTAATGTCTGTTTGTTTATTTATTTTGAGAGATTTATGTATGAATGTATGTATGTATGTATTTTGAGAGAGAGAAAATCCCAAGCAGGCTCCATGTTGTCAGTGCAAAGCCCAATAGGGGCTAGATCTCAGGAACCATGAGATCATGACCTGAGCAGAAATCAAGAGTCCTACGGTTAACCAGGCGAGCCACCCAGGCACCCCAATAGAACTAATTTTTGGTAATAGTGTGAAGTTCTTTCAGTTACAGGTTTGTATATTCATATACATACTTACACATGTATGCGTGTGTGTGTAGGTCTGTATGTGTGTATGTATATACATGTGTGTATGTATATGTGAACATTTTTACCAGTGGTCCCCAGGTCAGTAGCATTTGTTTGAAATCTCATTGTATTCAGTCTTGTGGTGTACATTACACTAACTTTTCTTAGTGTCTTTTCAGCTATATTGTAAGTCTCTTGATGGTAGGGACTGTATTACTCTTCTTGGATTGACGGAATCAACAAATGTTTGTCAAGTTCTTCTCATACTGATGATAAATAGTGAATATTTGTTGTATTAACAAGCTATCGCCAGTTGTAAGCTAGATAACTCCCACTTCAATTAAAATTATGTGTTAGAGCTGTATGAGTTGACCTAGTAAATCATATTCACTCTTGTATTCTTCCTTACGGTATAGATAAATTGTATTATCAATGCACATGAGTATATATACTTGGTCTGCATATTTCTCAAGGAATGTGGTGCAATAGCATGACCACAGTATTTCTTCTAATTGAAGTTTTTAATTGCGATAATTGGTGATTCACATGAAGTTTTAAGAAATAATAGACGATTGTGTTTTAAACCTGAGATAGATAAACATATATGTATGTGTGTGTTTAAATTCTTCAAAAAGTTAACAAAACCTAAAAATTAAGTTCTTGCTTCTTATACATTATATGTTCTGGTAAGTAAAATGGAGAGGGGGATAATTTTTTCACATATATGTATGTAATTTACATATACGCGTGTATGTGAATTATGCTACTCCCCCCACCCTCTCATTTTACTGACCAAATAGTAGGTAAAAGGAAAAACCGAAAACTTTAATTCTAGGTTTTGTTATCTTTTGGAAATCCTAAATTACTATTTACATTTTTTTTAAGCATGATACATATAAATAGAGCTGTAGTCTTACTACCCAAAGTATAGTTTGAAGATTAGCAGCATCAACATCACTTGGGAGGTTTTAGAAAAAGCAGAATCTCAGATTCCACCTCAGACCTACTGTTTTACAATGTATGTTTTAACAAGATCTGAAGCCCCCTTCCCTAACCCTACCCCATTGTAGTAAAAAGAGATTTATTATACCGTGTCTTGATGAGCCGTAGATTCTATCTTAACATCTTTTGAAACTTCCATTCCCCACAACTACAGCCTTAATTCATGCTTTAGACTTTTTTTTTGTGGTAACAACTTTATTGAGATATAATTCACTTAGAGCAGAATTCATACTTTAAAATCTCCATTTCAGTGGTTTTGAGTATCTTTGCAAAATTGAACAACCATCAGTACAATTTTGGAACATTTTTTATCACCCTTTACGTATTACCCCCTAATCCTTTCAACTACAGCCATAGGCAGCCACTAATCTACTTTCTATCTCTGTGGATTTGTCTGTTTTGGACAATTCGTATAAAGGGAGTTTTATAGTATGTGGTCTTTTGTGAGTGGCTTCTTTCACTTACTTAGAATGATGTTTATAAGGTCCATTCACACTGTAATGTGTACCAGTACTTCATTCCTTTTTAGGGCCAAATAATATTCCATTGTATGGATATACCACATACCAAATTTTGTTTGCAGTTTTTAAGTTGATGGACATTTGGATTGTTTCCACCTTTTGGCTGTTACAAGGAGTGGTGATGGGAACTTTTGTGTGTAAGTTTTTGTGTGGACATACATTTTCATTTCTCTTGGGTATATACTTGGGCATATACTTAGATAAATATGAAAAATAATTTCATATTTAACTTTTTGACAATTAAAAAATTTTGGGGGGGAGGCGCCTGGGTGGCTTAGTCGGTTGAGCAGACTTCAGCTCAGGTCATGATCTTGTGGTTCGTGAGTTCGAGCCCCACATCAGGCTCACTGCTGTCAGTGTGTCAGCGCAGAGTCAGCTTCAGGTCCTCTGTCCCCCTCTCTCTGCTCCTCCCCCACTTGTGCACTCCCAAAAATAAGCATTAAAAAAAAATTTTTTTTTTTTTTTGATGTTTACTTAACTTTGAGAGAGAGAGAGGCAGAGAGCACAAGCAGGGGAGGGGTGGAGAGAGAGGGAGACACCGAATCCAAAGCAGGCTCCAGGCTCTGAGCTGTCGGCACAGAGCCCGATGCAGGGTTTGAACTCACAAACCACGAGACCATGACATGAGCTGAAGTTTGATGCTTAACCGAATGAGCCACCCAGACACCCCAGTAGTTAACTGTATTGGAGTTTTATACTGCTTCATATGGCTTAGTTACTGTCTATGTCTGTTCATTTCAGCCTGAAGAATTCCTTTTACCATTTCTTGCAGGGCAGGTCAACTAGCCCAACATACTCCTAAATATGCTCAAAGAGCTAAAGAAAACCGTGGACAAAGAATAAGAGGAAACCAGGAAAATAATACATGAGCAAAATATCAATAAAGACATAGAAATTATAAAGAGGAACTAGGGGAACCCGGGTCGCTTCATTTGTAACCCCATGTAGCAAAATGTCTGGCATGTATTAGATACCCAGTAAATATTTGCTGAATGAATAAATGCACATTTGTTAAAATAATCCATAGACTTGACTTTGACATATCATTTCCTTTTTATAGATATGTGGTAGATGATGTTCCCTTCTCAATTCCTGCGGCCTCTGAAATTGCTGACCTTAGTAACATCATCAATAAATTGCTGGAGGCCAAAAATGGTAGGTATACATGCTCTGAGAAATTAGGAGAGGGTGCATTGCCACTAACTACACTAAAATATATCACATTTTATTTTGTTTCCTTTTTTTAAGCCTTACTTTAAAATACTGTATGCATTTTGTAATGGTAAAATTTATAAATTATGAGTTTCCCTGCTACGTGATACTTTTTTAAATGCTTTGAAATACAAGTTCTCAGGAAAAATTCTTTCTTATTTATTTCAGTTTAATCTGCTTTAAAGGCAATATGGATATAAGGTGATTGGCATTTAGGAATACGATTTTGTTGTAATAGTTATGACACTGTGGTTTTCCTAGGGAGATCTGGAATTGGTAAGCATAGAACAAGCATCTAGGTGCTACCAGTTGCTACAATCCTACAAAGCAAAATGACATTGTCACTATTTGAGTATTTTGTGTAATAATAGATGCCAATACTAATACTAGTATTTTTTTAAGTATTTAGAATTCATTGAAAAATTAATGGTAAAATTTTATAAACATGCAAGGGTATCAAGTAAAACATTTAAGAGATATAAATGTTAAACATGCTCTTGTATGAAAATAAATTATTAGCCCATAAAATTCATATGAACAAGGTATGCAAAAATATTTCTGAAACAAGATTGGCCAGGAGTTGATAATTGTTAAAACTGGGTGATAGGTATATGAAAGTTTACTGTTGCATATGTTTGAAATTGTCTATAATCAAATGTATATTGAAAAGTAAGGGAACCATACATAAAATAGAAGATTTAAACATGAAAGGTTGAAAATAACATGAAGCATGATCTTTAAAAATATAATTTGTCAATGAAGTCACCATTTAGAAACAAACATTTTTACCCAGATGTTTCTGTTGATTCTACCCTAGTTGGAGGAATGAGGAGTTGAGAGTTAGAAACTAATGCCTAATATATTCCTCTTCTCTGTCTTCTAATAATCCTATAACTTTATTTTTTAAGTTTGAGGGGTTTTTTTTTTGTTTGTTTGGTTTTTTTTTTTGGTAATCTCTGTATCCAACTTGTGGCTTGAACTCATGGCCCCAAGAAGAAATCTCATGATCTTCCAGATGAGCCAGCCAAACACCCCTGAGATGATGTTTATGAACAGTTTTTTGTTTTTGTTTTTGGTGGGACGGGGCAGAGTCTGAGGTCTTTTCATTACTAGCAAGCTATTGAAGCTATTGTTCTTGATTGAGAGAGATTCACATAACACTTCCCATAGGTCCTTGTCTTTACTTCATCCAGTTGATGTATAAAGATTCTGATAAATATTTACTTCTGAATTACAACACTGCCATATATTCTTGCTGAAAAAGTCTTTGAACTAGAATAATAATTATTCTTGTAATAGAATCTTTGTAATACCAGTGTGTGGATGTTTGTTGTTACCCAGAGAGTTGTATATTTTTCTAAAGTTGTAGATTGAATGTTGGTTTCTTTTTGAATAATCAAATAAGTCATTGATTGCTCTTGAGTTGAAGATGCAAATGATTCAGATTTCAGATTTTTAAAAGGCAACAATCCAAATAATCCAATGAGAGAATTCTTCTTTCAGCTAATAAATGCAGAAAGAATGAATAATTTTTAGCATTTTGTAACTCCAAATGAAATAATGGGTTTAAGTAGTGATTATCAGTAGCTACTAAAACTATTTATTACGTGTTGAAAGGCTGACGGAGAATATTAGGATGGATGGGACCAGGCTGACAATATCAGAGTCCAGATGTAGATTATCACATCATAGAAAGACATACAACAACACAATGCATTTTCTGATGTGATGCAGTAGGAAACACATAATACTATGTATAAATATTCTTGCCAGAAAAACAAAGCTAACCTGAAGTCTAATCAGTTGTTTAGGTCTGCCTGGTGTATAGGATGTGTAGGTGGTAGAGGAACATCTTATAGGACACCGTGGAGATGTAATCAACCAGAATGTAAGAAATACTAGAAGACAGATGACCTAATTTCTTTTTTTTGTTAAAAAAAATTTTTTTTAACGTTTATTTACTTTTGAGAGACAGAGACTGAGCAGGGGAGGGGTAGAGAGACAGGGAGATGGAATCCAAAACAGGCTCCA